GGTGAGGGTTTCGGTGGGAGGAACTGGGACGAGGACATCTGATCGCTGCGGCGGCTGTCTGAGCGTGCTTCCTTCCGGCTGGAGAGCTTCAACTTGGGCAGGGAGCGCAATAGTTTGTTCTCGGAGAGAGTGCGCCTGTGCTTTCCCTTCTCTATCGTCGGCCCATCCAAGTCTCCAGCTGGACTTTGGAAGTCGTTGGCTGAGCTCAAGCGACTTAGGCGTGCTGCGCCGTCGAGGTTGCGGTAGGGTGCCTTCTTGCCTCCGTCGTCGCTATCGCCGGAGTCGACTTCTTGCATCGTGCCCAGGTCCGTTTGCGACTGCTGACCCGCGCGGGCTATCATGGAGAAGAGCGACTGGTTCATCGACATGGTGTTGTTCCGCTTCGGCGCCGTGACATCCTCCTGTGCATCGTCGCCATCTCGGAAGCGCTCCGGTACGTCCATAGACACACCGCGCGTTTCTCTTCTTGAGTCTTTTCGCTTTCTGCTCATTCGGCGACTCGTCCTGTCCTGGCTTCTGTCTTGGGACGCCATCTCGGGATGGGGCGTCGTGCGCCTGCACTCAACAGTTATTGGATCGTCAAGGTTGCTCGCGGATGTGCTGGCGGATGTACCACGGTTGGCCAAGGCAGCGATGTGGACTCAAGAGTGTATTGCGAATTACTATCTGGAAAGGTATCGCACGCTGCAGGGCAGTTGGGAAGATCGTTAAAGGTCACATATTGGAGCGTTGAGGGAATGACTTGTAGCTGTCTCGTGGCTGAGGAGCGTGCTGCATGCGTCCGGGGTACCTACTAGCGCGATACGATAAGGTTACCCACGCACACCTCCAGGCAACGACTGCGACCGGTAACTGTGGAGTGTGACAGGCAGTGTATTAATCTGTATATTTCACTCGAATCCGTTATCATCCCACATGCTTCTAGGTTGCGAGCTGCAAGCCCCCAGGTCCGTTGGAGCAGTCTACAGACGTCATTGGTCAGACTTATCGATAGGTGCACGTGTAAACGCCAGCCCAAGGCGCTGCCGTCCGCTAACGTGGACTATAATAGTCCACGCGATGACAGCCAGGTACTCCATCAGAGGCGCAGACAGGCAGACAAGCGGATGCGGATGGATAGAGTAGTAAGCCCATGCCTGCAGTTCGTTCATTCATGGTGGCAAAAAGAAGGTATCTTCCACGATGCAAAAAATGGCAAAAACATACAACAGCAGGTATTCCCTAGTGGTCACCCACCTAGGTACTAATCTGCCGATATCCTGCTTGAGTACCGCTGAGCGAACGGGAAGCGCTATTATTCAGAATTCTATGGTCGTATGTGAAAGAATGGGATGTTGTAGCAGTATAAGAAGGCGCTGTTCCGCGGGCCGCCAAGCCCGTGACCATCGCCTAAGCCATCCGTGCCCGCAGGTTGGTGGAAGGCCTGTTATTTCATGGATTCATCTCGTGGGAGACAGCTCCAAAGCTCTGGGAAATCGTGTCGTTAATACATCCATATCACCATCTCGAGATTGCTACAGCAAGCACAGACCCATGTACAAAGATTCAAAACATCACATGCAAGGGCACAATCATTCTTTATCCTTCTCATTAGCTGATGTACTCTTGTACAACCGAATACCCAAGTCATTAAACCGAACTACAATTTAATCCAAACGCCGTCATCATTTCCATGACGTTCCAGAGTTGTATGATATCCATAATAGGGCGACATAGAGAGCAGAAGCTTACTTGGACTTGGCAAGACCGACAGCCGAGTTACCAAGGTCGTATACGGAGTACCACTTCCTGAGGAAAGCGTCACCGAGAATAGCAAGAGGTCCTACTGGCTCGGGGAAGTCCATGCCCATGAAGGCAGAGATGCAAGATCCCTGGACCTCGAGAATGTAGTCGAAAGCGCTGATGGTGAAGTTGTGGCCGGTAAGAGTGAAGGTGAGGTCGGGCAGACTGTCACGCTTGTCGCACTCAACAGAGTACTGGCCGTTGAAGCCCTTCTTGGCACCGATCTCCTTGTTCAGGAGCTCGGCGATGGTGGAGGGAAGAGCGATCAGAGATGTACCAGTGTCAAGAATGACACCAGTGTTGTCCATCTCAGCAGTCTCCTTGCCAAAGGTGATGGCATCGAGGTCGACCTCCCAGTAGGCCTTGCGCCTGAGGGGAAGCTTGACCATCTTGCCGGTGTAGTGGCTCTCATCGATGCCACCGAAGGTAGCCTCGGACTCCTGGCCCTCGTTGGTGTCGCCGAGGTAGAAGGCGAAGACGGGCTCGTCCAAGAGACCCTGTTCGAGCATGTTGTAGAAGGGAGGGACTATGCCCTTGACACTGATAGTGTCGTAGCCAAGACCCATGATGCCGTCGAACCTGCCGAAGGCGAAAGCGAGACCAGGCTCGGAGGTGGCCTCGGCGAAGTCCTGGTGCTTGACCTTGAGGTCGCCGATCTGGAAGACATCCTGCGAGACGAAGCCGCTGAGCGAGCCGGATCCGTAGCGGATCTCGAACTCGGTGCCGTTCTTCTTGTAGGTTGACGACGCCGAAGAGTCGTACTTGGTGTGAAGGTAGCAGGCAATCGAGTTGCAGCTCTGCGATGGAACCCAGAGGTTGGAGCTTCCCGTGTCGAGAACGACCTTGAAGGTCTGGGGAGGAGTTCCGAGAGAGATCTCAGAGAAGTCTGGCGCCTGTTAGCTTTCGCCACACGATGCTGCGCAGCGCGCGGAGCTTCGGAGACGTACATTGCGCGTTCAGGAAGTTGCTGACGGGCACGGGGTGGGTGCCATCGGCGATGTAGGGCGCCTTGAGTGCAGCCTCCATGTGCGACTGGGCCTTGAGGCCGGTCATGTGCTGCTGGGAGTACTTCTGCTTGAGGCCAGCCATTTGGGTCTCGATGTTGGCAAATTCCTGTTCATGGTTAGACTGCGATCTTGCGCGTCCGAATGCGACGATGGCTTACCAGCTGGTCAGACAGAGAGACCTTCTTGAGCGGCGTCTTGTAGACAGCCGCAGAGGCCGAAGTGGCTGCTGCGAGGAGCACCGCCGTCTTCATGATTGCGGACGTTTAATGGAGACGGATGGGGTATGGAAGAAGAATGGATGGATGGGAGATGGGATGGCGGGTGGAGAGGGAGAGATGGGGGAGTGAGTGGTGTGTTGGGGATGGAGCTCAAGCTGGAGCTATCTATGGGGCTGGGGAAGGCGCGGCGGGCGAATGACGAATGTGACCAGTGCTGCCTGGCCGACAGTGCGACTAGCGTGACACGTTCCCTGTTCGAGGATTGTACCTGCGCCAGGCGCACCCGCCATGCCCCAGACAACCAGAACCGAGGTCTGCATAGTGCTATGCCAGCCACCTTAATCGATGGAACTTGGTTGATTAGCTGTCGCACACTTGAGCGACATATCTCACGTGTCTCGTTGCATGCGCAAGTCAGGATACGGTGGGCTTCGAGCGCGAAAGTTACCCCGTGATCACGCGCGTCAAGCTTCCATGACCTCAGCACTCGGGCTAGCAAGCCATCGCTCAGGTCCTCAGATGGTCCCAAACACAAATGCTGTGCTGTCTTCCAACGCGGTGTATTCCGACCGACTAGATAACACTATCATACAGCGGTGTCTGGCTCGTCCGTGTACTGCGGCGCCTCAGCCAGGTTCGCCTCCTGCTCCCTCCGCGCCTTCTCCAGGTCCGCGGCCCACAACGCCGAGCTTGCTGGTGCCGTCATGAGGAAGAACATGCTAAGCGGCGGTACATACTGCAGCATGAGATAGACGGTGCCGTACCTATAGTTTGTTAGTCGCATCACGATGATCATGCGCAGAACACGTACCAGGTGTATTGCCACCTCCTCTTCTTGATGGCAAGATTCCTCTGTTTCTTGTCATATTCGAGAAGCTGGAAGTACCGCCAGTGCTGGAACGGACCCGCGCGATAGCCCGTCAGCAAAAGAAATATCGGCACCCCGACGTATGGTATAAAGTTCACAGGCAGCAGGACGACGAACTCGGCGATCTGGCGGAAGGAGAACGGCGCGTAAACAGAAGACCGTGTAGGCTTGCCGAGTCGGCGGACGGGGTCGTTCAGCGCATCTTCAGTGACGGGTCGGTGTTTGCGGACGAGGTCTTCGTAGCCTTTGTAGATGAGGACTGCGTCGAACACATCGACTTGCGATTCATCCTAGCCGGAGTCAGTACCTGAGTATAGCGTGCAGTTGGGTATACGTACCACTAGGAAAGACTCGAATAGTAATGCGACGATTGCAGCTCCCTCTCCCAAGACCAGGAATACGGCGTTGACCCATGCACTACCCGCCGTATGGAATATCTTGAGGAAAAGTACTTGGGGCAGCAACGTCCATACGAAGAGGTTTATGAGGACGAAGAGGCTGAGAAGTACAGCTGGTAGCAATCGCGCTTTGAGTAGAGGATACAGGAACGGGTGCGCGAGGAAGAAGACGATGCCCTGTTGCCTGTTAGCACATGCGCGACAACAGCAGAATAACTCCAAATACCTTGACGAGATACGTTGACGCTACAACATTATCCACCGTTGGTCGCACCACTACTCTCGGTATATTCCCCAACGCCGTATGCACTCCTTGCTGTGACATGGTGGTGGTTCTCGTGGTGATGCTGAAGTTTGCGTGAAACAGAGACGCGAAGGCAGCTGCGTAAGAAAGACCTCGGGAGTGACGTAGCTACGGAGACCCTGAGCGGTCCTACATTCCCCCCACGTTGCACCATCCGCCTGGCCCAACTTGAGCGTTTCCCGTCGGAGGAGACGCGCATAGCATTCGGTGTGGCTTGCAATAATGCACCGTAGTCTGTATGCGTGAACGATGTAGACGCCTGACACGCCCTGCGAACGATCTATGGGTCTTGCAATGTATATAGGACTCGTATCTCCCAAAGTAGAAGGCAATACATCGCGTCTTCCAACCGACTTCACTCCAGATGAACAATTGAACCCCATATCCATCAACACGTATACTGGCCCGAATTCATCATCCACCATGTTCCACAACCCCACCGCCTCAACCTACAAACACACCAACCCCTCCACAAACCCCTCCGTCGAGCCCTTCCACCGCAGCCTCCCCGACTACGCCATCACCCCTCTAATCCCCTTACCAGACCTAGCCCAAGAACTCAATCTAGGCCACATCCTCCTAAAAGACGAATCCAGCCGTCTCGGCCTCCCCGCCTTCAAAATCCTCGGCGCATCCTGGGCCATCCAAGTCGCCCTAACCAAAAAATGTTCCCTCCCCATCACCGCCACACTACATGAACTAGGTGCAGCAGCGAGGAAACAAGGGGTGGAGTTAGTGACGTGTACGGAAGGGAATTGGGGCAGGGCTGTAGCGCGGATGGCCAAGTATCTAGGTGTGAAAGCAGTGATTTTCGTGCCTGATTTTATGGATGAGGCGACGGCGGGGAGGATTAGGGGTGAGGGCGCGACGGTGGTGGTTGTGGATGGGGATTATGATTTTTCGATTGAGAAAGCGAAGGAGGAGGCGGGGAAGGGGGAAGGGGGGATGTTGGTTATGGATGTGAGCTGGGAGGGGTATGAGGAGATTCCTGAGGTAATGTCTATCCCTGTGACCCAGTCCATGTCTCCACCTATCTACCTATACATGTAGTGGAAACTAACGTGTAACAGTATGTAGTACAAGGCTACATAACCATGCTCACGGAAACCGACACACAACTCAAAGACATGAACATCAAACCCGTAACCCACGCCATCGCCGCCGTAGGCGTAGGCTCCTGGGCACAAGCCGTAACCAGCCACTACAAGTCCTCATCGCTCCCCCAACCCGCCACTGTCATAACCGTCGAGCCAGATACAGCAGCCAGCCTCAAGACGAGTCTGGAGAAAGGCAAGATCACGCCTATCTCCACCGGCCATACAATCTGCAACGGCATGAACTGCGGGACGACGAGCACGACGGCGTGGGAGGTATTGAGAAAAGGCGTGGATGTAAGTGTTACGATCAGAGATATTGATGTACATAACGACTTGCAGTATTTGCATAAGAGGGGAGTGAGGAACGGGCCGTGTGGAGCTGCGACGATGACGGCGTTGAAGAGGGTGTGTGAGGACAAAAGGATGAAGGAGACGTTGGGGTTGGATGAGACGTCCGTGGTTGTTTTGTTCAGTACGGAGGGGGCCAGAGACTACATCATCCCATCTGGTGCTTGAACTCATTGAACTCATACTCCCCATCTCATGAAGATAGTATCATACATCCTATCAAACTATTCCCTCAACCAAGCGTCTTAGTCTTCTCCTTCTTCTCCTTCTGCCTCTCCATAACATTCAACACATCATCCGCATTATTCTTATCCCCCTTCCTCTTCTTGCCACCCCGCTTCCTCACCTTCTTCGGCCCCTTACCCCCTTCCTCGCCTTCCTCATCATCGCCTTCAGCACCCAATCCCTTCCACTGACTGAACTTGACTTTCTCGCCTTCCCGCTCCATCTCCTCTGCGTCATCGAATCGCGACGCTCCGAAACCCATGTCCATGTCTTCCATGTCGCGATCTGAAGCCGCCAGCTCCGCAGCACGTTTCTTGAGTCGCGCTTCTTTCGATGCGGGGTCGTTGGGGTCGGTGGATCCGAGGTTTTGGAGGAGTGTGGAGTTTTCGTCCAGGTTGCGGACTTTGGCCAGCGCGGCGCGGACGGTGGCGTCGGCGGCGGATAGGTCGGAGGGTTCGGCTGTGGAGGTTGAGCGGGCTGTGGTTGCGAAGTAGTCTCGTTTGGCGGGCGCTGCGGGCGCGGTGTTTGTGGGTTTCGCTGGCGCGTCTTCCTCTGCTTCTGAATATACTTCGCCTTCTGATTGTGATTCTGCAGCATCGAGCTTGGGTGCAGTAGGCTCTGGCTTCGCTGTCTCTTCGTCCGATTCGTCATCTGAGTCGTCGAAGTTTGCGAGGGGGTTGTAGTTCGACCCAACTCCTGCGAATATATCCTCGTCCTCTGACTCTTCCTTCTTCGGCTCAGGGAGGTTGTGCATGTTGATCGGCTTATTCACATCGTCCAGATCGTGACGCACTTCGGGCGCTGGCTCCTCGACCTTCTGCTTCTTGACCTTTCTCTTCTCCTTGCCATCCGGACCGGTGATGATCAGCACCTCACGACCCTTCTCGTCTGTCTCGATGCGTGTGTCTCCATGGGCGTTGATCTTACGGAAGCCTGGTCCCAGGGTGGGAAACCTCTTCTCGTGCTCGGCCGCTGCGGCTGCTGCTGCCTCTTCCCGTTGCCTCTTGAGGTCCTTCAGGATGTCGTTGCGACTCCTCTTGACGCCAGCGACAGGACGCGGTCCAGTCATCTTCTCGCCCTTCTTCTCAGTCTTCTCGCGTGTAATGGGGCCGACATCCGCCTCTGCCAGCTCATCGAACGCGTCTTCCACCTCTGGCACCTCTTCAGCCTCCTCCTCCTCCTTTTCTTCTTCTTCTTCTTCTTTCTTGTCTAGGCCAACCAGAACATCCTCGCCCCGCCTCACTCTCTCGAGCAGCTTCCTGTCCAGGCCCTTCACTAAATGCGTGGTCCCGACATCACCACCCGTAATCTCTTGCACGAGCTTCTCGAACGTCTCGCGATCGATCTCGCCCTTCTTCATAGACTCCTCGAGGTTCTTGACGCGTTTGGCGATCTCATTGTCTTCCTCGTCGGTGTAAGCTTTCGTGCGGTCGGTGTAGCCTGCGGCGAGCCTCGTTCCTTTGGGCACTACATTCCTAGCCTTCTTTTGTGGGTTGTTCTTCGAGTTGCGCTCGGCGAGTTGGCGCGCAAAATCTGACTGTATCGAGCCCTTGCCTACCTGGCGACTGCGTATCTGTTAGCATCAGTCCTGCACGAGACAGTCTTCGGAAAACTTACGGTGTCATTGGTATGCTCGAGTGCTTGCGCGCGCCCAGCACCGCCCTAGGCGTTGCCGCTGCAGGTGACTTGCCCTTGCCGTCATCCTGAGGTTTTGGTGTTTCGACTAGCAGCCGCCTGAATTGCGAGTTGTTCATGGTGCGCGAGTTGAGAGGTTGGTGGAGAGTCGCGATTCGCAAAAGATGTGCCAAGCTTCTGCTGGCGTCTTCGGGTCGCGCCTGCACCACGCGAGGCTACGCTAAAGAAGCGTGGCTGGTCTAACGCGGGGAACCTTGAGCGCTCAACACAACTCCAGCCTCGTCTACTACCGGATTGTATTGCGTCAGCAGAATACTGATGGCAACTGTATGGACTTTCTGCGGCACGGACAATGCCTTCATTTACGTAGTCTTCAGTACCCTGCCGCTTCAGCTCTAGTCAACTGTCTGTAAGGTTGCAGCGCGATCTTGCTTATGCAGGATCACAAGACTACTGTAGGGAAATGCTACCTGTTTCCCTGTACGAGAGTTACGCTATGCCGCCACAGTAAAACGATCGTGCATAGCCCGAAAGGTTCTGTATCTTCCCCATTTCACTTGCTAGGCACCCTGCGATCCCCACCACCCCGCTTCCTCTCCGCATAAGTACCTGAACAGCCGGGTAAATTGTTGAACTCACCTCCTACGCCTCCCTTCCCCGGTATCTGTGAAATTGTAACGGCAACATGTTCAAGCTTCTCGTTGCTGCGGCTCTTGCTGCGGTGGGCGCGTCCCAGTACGCCATGCCCAACGCGACCAATTCGACTACATTCATGAACCCGATTGTGGGCGCTGGAGCAGACCCGTAAGTCAATCCTCCAAATTATGCTACCATCCGTCTGAACATCATCCAGCTGGATGTTCCGCCACGAGGACTACTACTACATGACCTACACCAACAACGTCAACATCACCCTCTGGCGCAGCAAGTCCCTGACCTCCTGGGACGCCGCAGAGTCCAAGACCATCTTCGTCCCCGAGCCCGACCAGGCCTACTCCACAGATCTCTGGGCGCCCGAGATCCACCAAATCGACGGAAGCTGGTGGGTAATCTTCACCGCAGACCCCAACTTCGACTCCCCACCACCCGAGGTGGAGATGTGGTGCGAGTACAACTGTCCCGCCGTCAACCACCGCATGTTCACCGTCGTCGGCGAAGGCAAAGATCCCTGGACCGCCGAGTACCGCTACCACAGCGAACTCGAGACGTACGATCAATTCGCCATCGACGGAACTTACTTCCAGCACGCCGACCAACTGTACCACATTTACTCTTGCTGGTACCACAAGTACGACGGCTGGCCAGCCAACCTCTGCATCACCAAGATGTCCGACCCTTCCACCACCGTCTCCCCCTTCTCCGAGCGCCAAATCATCTCCGTCCCAGAGTACGCCTGGGAAAAGACCCCCTTCGGCCGCTCCATCAACGACCGCCTCTCCTCCAACGAAGGCCCCCAACAACTCACCAACCCCACCACCGGCCAAAATTTCCTCATCTACAGCGCCGCCCGCTCAGACAACCGAAACTACTGTCTCGGCCAGCTCGAGCTCGTTGGCGACGATCCCATGAACCCTAGCGACTGGCGCAAGCATCCTTACCCCGTCTTCTACCAGAACCCTAGCGAGAAGGCTTATGGTGTCGGTCATGCCTCTTTTACGACGTCGCCTGATGGATCAGAGGATTGGATCGTTTACCATGGTATGCAGAATCCGACGAATGGGTGGAGTGCGAGGTCGATTCGCGCGCAGAAGTTTGGCTGGAATGAGGATGGGAGCCCGGACTTTCCTAAGCCGGGGTATGGGCCGTATCAGGTTCCTAGTGGGCAGTAGGGAGGTTACTGATGTGGTGTCTGGGTTTGCGGGATGATGGCGGGGCTGTGAAGGTTCTCTTGCTCTGCGGCTGGTTTGCTTGTATCTTCTGGACGGCGGCGACCGGCTGTGTTGGTGGGCTCGTGAAGAGAGCCGCTTCTTCCCTGTTTCTTGCATACAGACCTTGGATAACACCTAGGTATCTGGACCACTCCGGATATATATTGCCAGCTTAATCATAACCATGGAACGATCATGATGAACTTGACCAGCCATCGTTGCGACTCTATCTCTTGTGTGATACCCTGCGTCGTGTAGATGAATAGAATATCCAATATTGAGGTTCGTAGCGATTTCAGCGTGTTCTGTGTCCCTTATGTGACGTGGTGGCATACTGTGGACCTGCGTGCCTTTCGTACACGTTCGGCGCGGCCGCCACCGACCATGTCTGCGATCCGGAAGTATTGCGCAACCCACCACATCGCTCGGAAAGATGCGAAAGATACTTTTCCTGTGCTTCCTAGAGCTTTGGAGTAAACCATGATGCCCCGATGCGATTTCGTGGCATCCGAATATGTGTTGTTGTTCTGATCTTTCAGATTGTGTAAAATGTCGACTTGCATGTTTTTGGCATTTAGGTCTCAACACGTAACTTGTTCAAAAAATTCCAACACAACCACATGTTCCTCAAAATACACCAAACTTAGCAGATCGACCAAAGTAATACGTGAAACTACTTCCTGCAAGTTTGAGATTATTTGAGCATCATGGTGGAAGTCTACGCGTTGGAGGTCTGCGGAAAGCGTCTTTCCGGAGCAGTCAAACTACGCGTATTTTCACGACCACACGACGCGCTTTAGATGCACAGTGCGATGTGGAGACGAGTATACAGTCAAGCGCATATCAAGAATACAAATGCTACATATCATTCACGTATCGAACTCCGCGTTGCATGGCCGTTGTACTTATGGAAGACGTGACGTCATACGCCCAACAGCCAAACTTCACAGCCGTCTTCACGCAGGTGGCAATAAGCGTAAACTATGAGTCATGCTACGACCGGTCAGACGGCACAGTCAATGAGTCACGCAACGTCCTGTTCATTGTTAACGCGAACGAGATGAAAGTCGGTCTGGCAAACTGCACATGGCACTAGTTCACATACACACTAGCAGAGCAAAAGGCGGAACAGCACACCGCGGAAGTGGAGCACATCAGCAATGACCACCGCGTTCACACAAAGTTCGCAGACGCGTCGCACATCACAGCAGAAGACAAGTAGATGAAGTTATTATGGTATCATTCCATGCAAATCAGAACCCGACTGATATAACCGTGAACTCCGAGCCTTCTTATACTATACAAGGCCATGACCATCCCACCAAGCACCGAAGAGGCGACCGTAGACTGCTGAAGAAGCCAGCCGGACAAAAGTCGTAACATTGAAAACCGTAAGAGCGAGAAGAAGACGACGCGCTTAACCACCGAAACCGTACAGAGTGCGGCCTTGACGCTTGAGAGCGTAGACAACGTCGAGGGAGGTGACGGTCTTGCGCTTGGCGTGCTCGGTGTATGTGACGGCGTCACGGATGACACCCTCGAGGAAGGTCTTGAGAACACCGCGGGTCTCCTCGTAGATCACTGGGGTGGGTTAGAGAGGTAGGCTAGGAAGGTGTGCAGGAGACATACTGGCTGAGATACGCTTGACACCGCCACGACGTGCGAGACGACGGATAGCGGGCTTGGTGATACCCTGGATGTTGTCGCGGAGAATCTTGCGGTGGCGCTTGGCACCACCCTTTCCGAGACCCTTGCCACCTTTGCCGCCTGGGAGACGCGTCAGTAAAGTGTTGATGGTGAAGGACGACGCGTTGAGCGCGCCGAACTGTGGAGGTGGGAATACTCACGACCAGTCATGATGATAGATGTGGGGGGTTGTTGTGTTGGGGAGGAGGTGTTGTTGGTTGTAGAGTGAGAGAGTGGTAGTAGTGGATTGGATGCTTTGGTGATGATGGGAATTAGTTGGGGCGGCGGGCGTCGTGTTTATGAGGCAGCGGGGCGCGTCGTCTTGCGCGCCGGATCACACGCCAGCCACGCCAGATCAAAGCCGCGCACGGGCGCGCTTTCCAGATCAACGCCCGTGCCCCTTCCCAATTGGGGCGCGCAGCAAGCGAGCCAATGGGGAATGGGCGCCGCGGTGTGGACTTGGTGGTTTTGAAGTTGCAGCGCGCGCAGGTTAGCATGCTTAGCATGGCTTTGGTGTTCCTGGTGCGCGCTGTGAGGGAGCGCAACAAAGATTGATTTTCCAGGCAGCCGCCCGCCCCCCATTTACCATATAAGCTGCGCCCGCCCACCCTCCTCCATCTCTCATCCACTCAACTCCACTCACCATCACAACAACCATCTACCACATCCACATCTCCATCTCCATCCCACTACAACAACATGGCCCGCACTAAGCAGACCGCCCGCAAGTAAGCTTCAGCCTCATCGACTCTTCAATAACTATCTTACTAACAATCTCTCAGGTCCACTGGTGGCAAAGCCCCCCGCAAGCAGTTAGTCTAGCCTCAGCTCTACTTCGCACCTCATCGCAGCATACTAACTTCACTTCAAGGCTCGCATCCAAGGCAGCTCGCAAGTCCGCACCGGTCAGTACCTACTCACCTCATCATTCGATGCATCATTTTAATATCCTTCAGTCAACCGGTGGTGTCAAGAAGCCTCACCGCTACAAGCCCGGAACCGTCGCCCTCCGTGAGATCCGTCGCTACCAGAAGTCGACTGAGCTCCTCATCCGCAAGCTGCCCTTCCAGCGTCTTGTCCGTGAGATCGCTCAGGACTTCAAGTCGGATCTCCGCTTCCAGTCCTCTGCCATCGGCGCTCTCCAGGAGTCCGTCGAGGCCTACCTCGTCTCGCTCTTCGAGGACACCAACCTCTGCGCCATCCACGCCAAGCGTGTCACCATCCAGAGCAAGGACATCCAGCTCGCCCGCCGCCTCCGTGGTGAGCGCGGTTAAGCTTCTCACCTTCGATATATCGACACGACTATGACAACTTCTTCGGGTCGGTGATGGATTGGGTCTTTGGGTCGGATATTTAGGCGTTTGGGTTCATGGTTCACGGTCTTCAACTCGGTTTATGAGTGCACACGAGCGGTGCTGAGCATGTAGTATATCCAGGTTAATCAGTGATGGTCACTGGCGATATTCCACGAAATCAACAGATTTCTACTTCATTCCATCTTCATCTTTGATTGTGATGTTTGCTTTGACTTTCAGGGTGTCGCTAACTCTTCTTCGCTCCGCTCTTTGGTGTTTATGCCACTGCGCTACTTCGACTGGCCGCGAATAGTCGCGATGCGGCACTCACCCCGCAACATGACGCCCATCGCAGCTACTAACTCGCCCATCATGACCAGCACCTCGGCGAACGGTACACTAACAACTGAGACTACTACGATGTCTTCCCGTAAAGGCCGCGCGATTGCGCAACTTCATCCAACCCTTGACAACACTTCACGATGACCTGGCAAACCGAATTCTGGTCATGGATGTCGCCACCCACAGTGCAGACCGCTGAAGTCCCAGCCGTCGGCCAAAAGGCGCCCTCCACGCCCAAACTCGCCATACCAGCACAAGATGGCAAGCCAACGATTATCAGCTTCCTCCGACACTGCGGATGTCCTTGTACGTACACTATTCAAAAACCATGACGATACAATCTCATTCACACCACCACAGTCGCAGAAAAAACCTTCCTAAACATGCGCGCCCTCGCGCCCGCTCACCCAGACATCCATTTCATAGCCGTTTCGCACAGCGACCAGGCGGCTACGGATCGCTGGCTTGCATCGTTGCCTGAACCAGCGCAGAACTCCCATCCTAACCTCAGCATCGTTGTTGATGCAGAACGCGAAGCATATGCCGCGTGGGGCTTAGGCACGTCCAGTCTGTGGCATGTGCTGGGTAGTATACCTGGTACGAGCAAGTTGAGCAAAGAGGGCATTAGTGTGAGGCCGACTGAGAGTGGGAGTCGGTGGCAGACGGCGGGCAATTTTGGGGTTGATGCGCAGGGGGTTGTGAGATGGAGTAGGGTTGATGGGAGGGCGGATGATATGCCGGATTTTGAGGAGGGGGTGGATAAGGTGCGCGAGGGGAGGTTTGAGACGGGGGGTTTTGCTGAGGCTATGCAGGGTTGATGGGGGATGTGGTTGTTATGATACGCATGTGTAGATTGTATGTGATGCTTGTAGTTGGTATTATGGTTGTGCGGTTCTCGCGTTTTGCGTTGTGAAGACGCGGATTATGTGTCGCATGTGAGGTACGAGATGACCGTGAAGCACAACGCGTTCTTGCATCCTTCTCGCGACCATGTGAAGAGTGCAGGCTCTATACTCGTGATAACATACCTGTCTTCTTCTTGTAACACACAATTCTAACTTTCCTGACTATGGTGATCAAAGACAACCCCTCGATTGGCCCGCCCACCGATGACCTCACGATAACACGCGAAAACGCGCCAACACTTGAAGCGCGTCAAAGTGTCGCCACGCACACAACAGACCCGCCGCGGCCAGATCATGGCATCATGGCTGCACCGTCCACACGGCTGACGACTCGCGCGAGCGAGTATGGCTCAGACATCGACATCCAGTCCATCGCGACGCTGAGCGACTACGGCTCGGACATTGACATTGACGACGACACCATACTCGCCGACGCCTTTGACACGATAACAGACGCTGCGCATACCCAGAAGAGCGCAGTCCTCCCCAGCATAGAATTCGAAGAGGGCGAACTCGAAGACGAAGAGCAGGATGTGGACGGCTTCGTGCAGATCCATAGACCCACGGTCCTGCGCGTTGCAAAGGGCAAGGCCAGTGTCGACGCGGATGCACAGAGGGATATACAGAGCTCGCCCATGCGAGAGCGCAAGGCGCTGGAAGTCGAGTACGACGAACGATCGCGACGGGCGTGGAGTGGTGCGTTGATCAAGACTCGCAGCAGTGGCATTGGCATGACTGACGACTAACAGCGCTTAGTTCCTCACGAACCACCAGCCTCTCCCCCCAGACCCTCGCAATTGCGATCTGATCGCAGCATATCGCAGTCTACGCGCGCCGCCTCTACCACGCAGGCCGTACAGGCTGCCGAAACCGATAACCGGCCGCCCATCGAGCGGTTCCGAACGAAGCCCAAGAAATGTCTTTCCGTGACTGATCTCGTCTCACCAGCATGGTGCGAACTGCAGTACTTTTACACGTTGAGCAAGTTTGGGCGCAAACCACGAACACAGGCGATGAAGACTGGTAGCAAGATCCACCAAACGCTGGAAGACCAGGTACACACAACAGTGCCAGTGCAGGTTGAGAGCAAAGAAGACCGATTCGGCCTACGCATGTGGAATGCTATATCCGGCCTGCGCTGTCTTCGCGAGACTGGCCTTACGCGTGAACTGGAAGTTTGGGGCGTGCTCGAAGGCCAAGTCATCAACGGCGTCATCGACGAGATCTCCTACGAATGTCCCGACCCAGAATTCGAAGAGGAACTCGAGCGAACCCGCGCCGAGAAAAATGGCGGCATCGTCCCCTTACCATCAGGCCAAATCAGCATCACAGACGCCTTTGCAAAAGCCAGCAAACCGCCCTCCTCCAGCCCACTAGTCCCCACACCACCTTCCGACCGCCAAATCTACATTGCAGACGTAAAAACACGATCCGCGAAATCTCTCCCAACAGGCGCGTCTCTCCGCCCTACCTGGATGCAACTAATGCTCTACCGCAAACTCCTCGAATCCCTCTCCCTTAACACCGTCGACGCCGAAACCGTCTTCGCGCGCTACTCCCTCGACCCCCTCACCCCCTTCACCCCGCTCTTCCTTTCCGAAATCAGCAACATCGGCCCCGAAACCTCTGTCTCCTCCTACCCCAACCTACTCGCCCTCTGGTCCCTCCTCGTCACCGAAATGCAAACCACATTCCCTCCTTCCAGCCTCTCGCCCATCCTGCGCGCAGAGTTTAGGTATGCGAAGACGGGGGATGTGTTGGGCAGCCGGCTTACGGTGTATGAAGCGAGTGTTGTGGATGGGTATGTGGAGAGCGAGATGGATTGGTGGAAGGGGAGGAGGGAGGCCAAGGGCGTGGAGATTGAAGAGGCGTTTAAGTGTCGGATTTGTGATTTTAGTGAGGAGTGTAGTTGGCGGAAGACGAAGGTTGAGGAGGCGGTGGAGAAGGGGAGGTTGAGGAGGGAGGCGGAGGCGAAGGAGAGGGGGAGGAGTGCTGTGTAGGGGGTGGGTGTTGGTGTTGGTGGCGGTGTGATGTGTGGTTGTAGATATTAAGGGCTGGGCTATCGTCGCATTCAAGAAATAGACGGAATAACTGCCATGTAGGTTGCATCATTATTATCAATCCGAATATCTATCAACACTTTCATGCAACGGAGACTTTGAACAAAAATCAGCATCCATTATCCTTTCTATTACCTGCTGTTGTTTATGATTATATGCCAATGCGCTATTTCATATATGTTGTATTCTGACATTATCTTCTTTTGCTACATTAGTGTTGATGTGGAGTTTGCTCGTCTTCTGAAGAAGGAATTGTCTCATCGGGTATGTGTTAGCAACATTATCTCACAAAAGTATCCCGCATTGATTAACAGGTGTCTGAAAGAATGCAACGATGCAGGTATACTGGCATCGCCACCAATAACGTAGCTTCGACGCTGACATTCGTTGAAGTAGTACAACCATGACAATAAAACGCTGTCGTATGCTGCACTGTTTTCCCCAGTCTTTCGCAGCGCCTAACCCTGCAATCTACATGAGAACACCCACTCACTTCATCTGCGTAGGAAGCGACACCACTCTCTTCGCCTCCGCAATCCCCTCCATATCAACCTTAACACCCAACTTCTCCGCCACAGTAACGAACCCTTTACTCCCCTCCTTCGCATCAATCCACACATCAACCCACCCCTCTCTCCTCGCCTCCCCAACCACCTCCTCATCCCAATCCTCCTCCTGCGCCCTCTCCACATACACAGTCCTCAACCCACACCCCTTCGCCGCCTTGAGATCATTCAAATGCGCAGCCACCATGGCACATTCCTCCGGTGCAAGTCCCAATTTCTCCGCCGCGCCCAGGTAAACTTTCGGACTGGGTTTATACGTGCCGAACATCTCGGCGGAGAAGATGTGCGAGAAGGGTATCTGGCTGTACGCACGTAGATCGGAGAGGAGGCTCAAGTTCCCGTTTGACAGCATACATGTGTGAAAACCAGCTTGGTTCAATAACGCCATACCCGCGACTGAATCATCCCAGGGGTCTAACTGGTGCCATATTAGACTCAACGCGCGGATCTCTTCCTCGTCCCACAGGCCGTCTAATTCCCATTCTGCAATGAGTTTCTTGAGTGCACTTAGATGGTGGTCGTCGACAGAGACCCATGGTATGGACGGGTCAGATGCGAGTTGTTTTGTAAAAGCCTTGTAGCTGTTCCGCCATTGCTGTGCGAATTGGCCCCAGTGCTCGTCGCTCATTTCTGAGACTCGCAGACGCAGACGCGAGGCTAGCGATGCGGTGGCGGAGTTTAGTGAGGAGTGGGCGGCTTGTGATAGCGCGGTTGTGACGGTGGAGCGCCAGTTTACGCAGGTGCCGAAGATGTCGAAGAGGAGGGCTTTGGGCGGTGGGGTGAGAGACATGGTGTGGGGTTTGATTGGTGCTGAGGTGGTTGATGGTAGTGGTGTGATGGGTTGGCGAGGTGGAAAGTTTATTTTGGCTGATGGTGTAGGTGGTGGTGATGGTGGGTGTTTATGTATGTACGTCACCGGGAGGATTCCCCGGAAATATATCCATTGTTTCCGGGATATGTGCGATGGGAAGGTGGGTTGAATATCACGAGCGTAGAAGAACTTGAACAAAACATTGTATTCACATTAACGGTATTCGTATCACTCTGCTTTAACAATCATGAAGTGCGCACTATCCATGTGGCAGTCGCGTGGAGGAGACGTCATAGCTCCCGAGGTCTGATCTCTAGCTCACCAGCCACTTCCCATCCTAAGGAACTCCGCCCGGAAGACCACCATCTTTTGCATTTCAAGCGCTTTTCACAAAAGAACACAAATCGACACAAATCAGATGTAGAGCTAGCCGGATATCATGCATAAAGCACCTCTAGAAGCCTGCCAAGCAGACGTCATCCCCAACCGTGTTAGCACCCCACACTAGCGCTTTGCGGGGGAACTTGGGGTAGGCCGAGCCCAGCTCCTTCCGAGGTCAGCGTCGCCGGTCCCCTTGGACCGATCGGCAACGTTCTAAAACATCAGTGCTCATGACGCCCATATGCTTTCCCGGAAGAGCTACTCGTGCTTGACCGCATTCACTATCCTCAGGTCCGGCATATCGCTTACTTCTTGCTCGGCTCATAGCCCCATTGCCCGCGCTAGCTTCGTTGTTAGATCTAGCAGACTACTTGCGTTCTTTGCTTCACGAAACCAATCCATATCTGAGAACCGGACGGACAATATGCCTCAAGGACATGTTCAAGACAAGGTCTATGCGGCCTCCATCGACAACCCCGAGGAGTTCTGGCAGCGTCAGGCGGATAACTTATATTGGCACAAGAAGCCTTCCAAGGCGTTCCAGCGGAGCGTCAAACACTTGAAGAAGAGCAATGTCTCACATGAGCACTGGGAGTGGTTTGCCGATGGCGAGATATCGACGACGTACAATTGTGTGGACCGCCATGTGGAAAACGGCAATGGCGATAAAGTAGCTATCTGCTGGGATAGTCCGGTAACCGGGCAGAAAGAGCAGTACACATACCAGCAGTTGCTACAAGAAGTTGAGACACTGGCGGGTGTGTTGAGAGAAGAGGGAGTTAAGAAAGGCGATGTCGTGTTGATCTACATGCCGATGATACCAGCTGCGCTCTTTGCTATGCTGGCTATTGCCCGGCTGGGAGCTATACACGCGGTCGTTTTCGGTGGTTTCTCACCCGCAGCACTGGCACAGCGGATCGAAGCAAGTCGCCCTGTCGCGATCATGACGGCGTCTTGTGGAATTGAAGGAGCGAAGAAACCAACTGAGTACAAGTCGATGATTGAAGGGGCAGTTCACAAGAGCAGCTTCAAGCCATCCAAGACAATCGTCTGGCAGAGAGATCAGCTTCGATGGGATCCGATAGTCAAAGAGGA